TCCTTTCAGGTATGCTACACTAATATCAGTCCTAAATTTTCTTCTCTTATTTATTTATTTATTTATTTTAATTTTCAGATTTCGCTCCAGAGAAGATCAGAGCTGAAGATGCCTTGAAGTTAAGGTCTTCTCTTGAAGCGTAAATACTGAAATATTTTGGCCTAATTATGTTCTTGCAAACTTTTATTTACTTTTTTCGTTAAGAAAATTGAAATCATTGCCGTGGTGAAAGGTTTGGTCTCAGTTTTTATTTATAATATGGTCAAAAGTGATGTCTTAATCACGGATTTTGATATTCTACCAAACATAACAAGCTATTTTTGACACTTATGTTGGCGCATTCACATGCATAGCAGGGCTGTAAACGAGCTTGAGCGGCTTGTTCGAATGGTTTCAATTTGGCTTGTGTTCGAAATGACTCGTGTTTCATATGGCTCATGGAGCAATGTGTTCGTGTTCGACTCGAATAACATATTTCTGTTCGTGTTCAGCCTGGAATAGACTCGGTAGAATATAAAATGTCGTGGAATCGCGCCAATAATACCGTGTACGGCGGAATAGCACCGATAACACAACGATAACACCCGAGTAACACCAGCAATAACACCTGAGTAGTACCCAAATAGCACGGGCTGTTATTCCGCAGTGTAACACTAACACCAATAGCACCGCAGAATAACACTTGAGTAACATCGCAGATTGTGGAGTAATACCGCGGGTGTTACCGCTCGTTATGCTTAACAAATAAGCTGAACAATGTTCACGAACGAGTCGTTTTGACAGCCCAAATGCATAGCACACAATTTTTATGTATTTGCATATCTCGCACCTTAACTTTCGTATTTACACTTTACTTAAATCTCACATGAAAAAAAAAACACTTTGGCTGGTTTTAAAAAGTGATATTTATTCATTCATAGGTTTAAAGCATCAAAATGTCATGCAAATGTCAAGGTTTAGATGCTAGATATATAAATTCATCATAATTGTGTGTTATGCATGTAATTCTTCTTATTATTTTTTTAAAGCTACCGCTACACTCTTTTAAGTCCTTTAAAATAATTGTTATAGTATACAATATCTTCATGTTTTTGTCTTGTTATTTGGGCCTTTGTTAGGGTGCTATTTTTTATTATGTTTTTGATAATTACATGCAGGACACGTGAAACACTGCTATTTGCAAAATTAGCACTTTCGTTTTTTCTTAAACCATTAAGAATTTGATAAAAATGAAAAATAGGGAAAATATTACATCAGGACTCCTAACGTAGAGCTACGTTTAGAGTCCAATGAAATGACGTCATGTGAAGTTGATAGCAAAATTTAAAAAAAAAAACATTTTAGCACAGGAGAATATTTCCTCCGTGTTATTTCACATTATTCAGGTGTTATTGTGGTGGTATTCATGTGTTATTGTGTTCTGGGAATATTCTCGGTGTTATAATAACGCAATAACACATCAATATCACCATAATAACACATGAATAACGTGAAATAATACAAAAGGAATATTCTCGTGTTGCCGGGCCGGATCACAGAAAAATGCGCGCGTTTCCTTGAAGTCGCATATCTGCATATCAGTGGACTCCGAACGTAACTCTATGTTAGAAGTTCTGATGTAATATTTTTTTCATGAAAAATATGGGTTGGTAATTTATCATGAATCTTGATATTTGAATGAATTTTAAAAAATGGATGAAAGAACGTCGTAGATTTGTAAATAATGTGGACATTTGTGAAATTATTGTGGTATTATTGCATGTAGTCTCTTGGGGCACTTTTATAAAGAAAGTCCTGCCAAATGTCTTGAAAAAAACCAAAAGAATCTTTACGTTATCTGATATAACTTTTATCACTCTGGATTTAAAAATTGTTGAATTTTGAGCTGAATATGTAGGCATTCTATCAAAGTCCATTATTTTATTTACTTATTAAAATTATTATCTATTTATAAGCATTCAAATCCATTTTTTAAATGTCTATTAAAAATTATCATTCCATATCATGTATCTAGATAATTTGAAGGCCATTTAAGCTTATTTTAAAAATTTCAAATTTAATTTTAATAGATAAGTTATCATGTTCTATCAATTAAAGGGCCAATTATTTACGTACGTATCGCCTAATTGCTAAGTATTTACATATCTAACGTCTATAAACTTTAATCTTTGACGTTTATATCGTCATGATATTTCATAACACAACGAAAATACTACCATTTTAAATTTTAAAAATTGAAATAAGCAATGTGGTATGTAAAAATTAAAGTTTAGGTGCTAGATGGTAAAAACAATGGATTCGAGTGAAGTGTAAGTAAATTTTTTTAATTATAATTAAGAAATATAATTTTTGGTTGAGTACTTTAGAGTGTATTTTGGTATTAATTAAATTAATTTAATATAGTTAACATAAAAAATATACATTGCATGTTTTGGTTAAGGAGTTTAGGAAAGATTTAAATTTTAATCAGGCGAATTAAGATATAAATAGAGTTATCTATAATATGGTTTATGTGATTTAGACATATAAATTTTCGATTTTGGGTAGGTTTCAGAGATAAATATGTTAAACTATATAATATCATATATATTATACATATTATAAAATATAGTGCATGAATAAGAGAGAACTCTATGAATTTATTGATATAACATTCAATTATCTAACATAAAATAAACACACATGAAATAACTTCTAATAAATACATAGGTAGTCTTGATTTTAACATGGAGGAATAAAAAATATAATTCAACATATTCCATTTAAACAAAAGATGAACTAAATAAATAAATTATAAAACATGCATGAAGAGGTTCGATTTTAGGAAATAGAACATGTAACATGAAGAATTTTGTGAATTAAGGCTAATAATATATATTAGAGGACACTAGGACAAAAAGCCCTATGATTTGAACTTAAAAATTTTGATTTTTGGACTAGAATATGATAAATGATGTATTAAATTTGCACAAGGTAACAATTAAACATATATAAATAAAATTAAAGTAAAAGCTTTAAGCAAATTTCAATAAAACAAGCAAACATTTTTTATTTTGTCATTAAAGAACATGTAACATGATATTTCTATGAATTAAGTCTATGTAAACACTAAACAAGGCATTGAAAAACCATAGATATATTTTCGGTTCTAACATTTACATGTTGAAAACAAGTTGATTTTTAAAGATAAATATGAAGATATATTGCTCGAAAGGTTTAAAAGTAAATGGGGGTAATTAAAAGCTCTTTAATTTATGAAGAAATTTCGAGTTCTTCTTACCTAGCTCTGAATTTAATGCTTTGAATTGCTTCTTGGTTGTTTCCTAGCCTCCTTGCTTCTTCTTTTGGTTTGTTGGAGAACTTAAAGAAGAGTTTTTGGTTTTTTCAAGAAGAAAAGAAAATCAAAAGGAATTTGAGAAAGAGAAGGAGAAAATCTCTTATAATTGGGGAGGAGAAAAGAAAGGTGCTTCAATGTGGCGTGAATGGGAGGGACGAGAGGAGTTATGACTAGTAAATAGGGAGATAGTGGGCAGTTTTGCAAGTTAGTGTGGTGGAATTAATGATTGAGATGAAGGAGGGAAGATTTTATTCAAATTTAATGGCCAAGATTTGGTCTAATGGAAAAATCCACAATTTTCATTGCTTAGACCAATAAAAAATGATCACTAGGATTACTGAGAAGGCATTTGGGAATAAACAATTAATTAAATAATTAAGCCAATGACATTTTTGTAAATCAGCCCAAAATTGGGTTTTCTCTAAAATGGCAAAGGTTGATCAGAAAAATTCAAAATTATATACCATGTTGAAGAGGATAAAATGAGAAATCTAACAGTTTAAATGATTTCAAAAATGGAGTTGTGTAACTAAAGTTGTGGCCATTTGAAGTTCGAAATTGGTTGACTAGGTGGTTATTGGTGGTTAGGAAGTTGACTTTGGCTAAAAATTTGACTTTGGTCAAAATGATAGAGAAAATAGTATGAATTCAACGGCCTAAATGGTTTTGAATAATTCAAGCTCTATAAGAAGATGTGACTGGTCAAAATGGGCCCCACCTTAGGAGAGATAAAATCAATAATTTTGACAAATTTTTTATTGGACATAATTGGCCCAAAAGGTGCATTTGATGTTTTTTTAAAAATATTTTTGTCAAATTATCACTTTATCTATA